GGCGTTGTGTGAATTGTCCAGTGATATTACGTTATGTAATTGTCTGTAATAGACATACATGAGTAAATAAGAAAAAGCACATATATACTTTGTTTCTTCCAAGACCACGTCTAACCGGTATATACCTACCTATACCGGTGGGACATAGGCATTCATTTATGCCTCACCTATACAGGTTATTGTTTAAGAAACTGACCTTAAAGTTATTTATGAATACAATAACTTGTTGAATACATGCAGCTTTGGTCTAGGCCGAATCTGGATTTATCTAGTCTGACGAGTTATAATTCTAATTGCACTGCGCCATTCCCTGGGAGCTTTCGATACCAACCGACAAAATGTTGGAATAACATCCCGCCGATATTTAGCTACCTAACCACTGCAGGCAATTTTAAAAAATATCAAAAAGTGTTAGACCTACAACGAGACTCACTAGCAGTTTTATATATTCTTTTATCCATATTTAAAATGTTATATTCTTTACATAATTTTACATTTCATTTATCTCTTTATAATATTGTTTATAGTTCATATTCAAAGATACGGAGAATAATATTCTCCGTATCGTTAAATACAGTAGCCGTATCCTTCTTCTAAATGTATATATAAATTTTATCACGTAAGATCTAGGGGGGTACCTGATGACCCGTCCCTAAATCTGTATTTTAGCATCGAATTTTACATGCCATGCTCATTCGCTCACTGAGCCACATTTCATGATCTGAAACAATACTCATAGAAAACGTAAAATAAAAGATGTATTGTAAGAGATCAGATTCTATGACTATTTGTGATGTAGGGAGTTGGATTGACAACGTCAAAACAGTGAAGTAGTGGTAACTCAAGACAGTACCTACAGTATATCGCAGACCTATGTTTAGCAGAAAAAATATAAATAGTAATTAAATACATCTTTTTTTATTACAGGACATAATTCAGAGCACATTATTGATACATTTTTATAACAGCTTTTGCCGGCGACTTCATCCGCTTGACAATGATTGGCCAGGATGTTCTAAAAAGATATTGCTATGACAGATCTACGTTATCTCGCAAAACTTTTTTGGTGTCAGAAAATGTGCCTATTTTTGCTAAATGAACTTCCAAAGATTCAAGATACTCGCGCTTATCTGAAATGTCAGAGCACATTATTGATACATTTTTATAACAGCTTTTGCCGGCGACTTCATCCGCTTGACAATGATTGGCCAGGATAAGAATATATATACATTTTTCATCCGTAATACTATGAAGGTGAAAGGAATTAAAGAGTATTATTTAAGTTGGAATTATATTCGTGGACAATCACACGTTTCTAATCTATGTATTTATAATGTAAACCACAACACACAATAAATAACACTTGTATTATTACTATAGTATGTCCACCTTATTCCTTATTCTAACTACACCTTTGTTGAAACCGAAACTGTACTGCTGAATACCATTAAAAACGATTCCTGCAGTATTTCAATCAGTACATATTTAATATATTTTTCTATAAAAATTTTACAATAAAAAGCAGTAAATTTTATGCTTTTGATAAACTTTCTTTCAGATAGATAATAACGATTTTTATTTTAATTAAACAACACTATTTATTAATAATATATAAAAATAAATATATTTTAATGCTTTTGACCACTACCCCCAGGAGAATAAAAAATCACGTGAATCGGCCAAACATAAAAATTTTACCTTCAAAAATCATATATATTTATGCTCGCAGATTATAGCTGAACATTACAAATCAAGAATTTGCTGATTTCTTTAATTTTCCAGTGGCGTATGAAGGATTAGGGCGATGAAATCATTTGGAGTTGTAGGTAGTATAGGATAATTGGTGCCTATTCGTGGCCCTCGGGAAGTACTCACGTGTTCCCAAGTGTTTCCTATTTGTAACAATACAGAAAAAAGAAGAGCTCTTCATAGGCGGACCAGCGCCGTCAGTGTTGCGAAAGACTGCTCGCGCATTCTTTTAACTTTGGTAAAAAGGTAGAATGAAGGTACACCTCGGGGTATACAGTAATAGTTCGACAGTACCCGTCTACCTCTCCTGTGGCAGGCGGGCTCTCCGTGAGGATTTTCTATAATTAAGAAAAAAAGATGAAAATATAAAACCATGATTATTTAGTACTATTTCTATATACCATAATTTAACCCAATGACCAGACTAAATAGTCTGTGTTTTATTTAAGATACCTTACCTACCCCAACCTACCTATTTACATATCAACCACTTACCTACCTACTTACTTATGGTCAAAATAGAATATGATAAATAACACATCCGCCAAAATATTACTCAGTAAGTCCATAGAACATAATCGGAAAGTAACATGCGTCATTCCGACGAACAATGTCGGATAATTTGACTCCGACGTAAAATGAAGCATGTGATTTTTCTGGAAAACTGTATAATTATAAGTTGTTATTTTTATTTCATTTTAACACAATCCCTATTTTTTAATTGTATGCCAATTTTCATAATTATACATTTAGAATTAAAAAAGTTATGTCAAAAAAACCAACACTGAAATGTCTGCCCTGTAAAGTTTAATATTTGTTGAATATATGACGATATGTATATTTATTTATATATATTTATATATATATATGTGTGTTTATTAATTAGTTTGATAATTATAGTGTCTTGTGCGTGCCATCTACCTCTTCTGTGTATGTTAGTCCTATCTTGCAGGTTGTCTGTAAGAAATTGCTTATAGCGATAAGACCGCCTTTTGTTCATAATTTTCTATTTATTGTTTTTTTTTTCTTATTGTATTTCTTCTATGTGCACAATAAAGAGTTTATTATTATTATTATAAAACACAGATACGCCGAGCAGTATTAATTTTAGATGACTTGCTTTGAGATTGCTTGATATATCAAATTGACACCAGCTGCCGCTATAATTCGGGTTCAATTTATTGACAACTGCACTGCATTTTAATTGAATGGAATTGACAAACGTTATAGACATTTTTCCAATTTATATCACGGACACCAGCTTGTTAGTTATTGGCAATTTTAGTCCGTTGAGAATAGTTGAACGAAATACTTTAGTGTTGAAGTTAATTAAAAATTTCTCATTGCATCTCATTAATTAGGCGTCTGTTCAAATTCTCAATATCTCAGATTTTCATTAAGCAGTGTAAATAAAGATTTGAGATCCAAGGATTTAATTTGTGCTACAGAGTAGTAGAGTAGTAGATCTATCTACAGCTGTTTACGTTTATTTGTGCCCGTGACATCATCTGCGTTTACAGTTGTAAACAGCATCTATTGATAATAGAATAAAAGTAAATCAACGAATATAATATTTAAACAATACTAGCTTTATCTTTATTAATAATATATACTTTTGCCGCCTTTATATGAATTCTTAATATACAAGCAATTTTCGCTATTGTACTGTTTTAGTTTATTTTATAATAAAATCTCACTTATAAAACAAAAACTAGTACTACTATAGCTATACTTGATGATAATGATTTCTACTTAGTCGGAAGGCTTCATCAACAGGGATTTTCACTGGTGTTGTCAAGTGACAATGACAAACTCGGTGGTCTAGCGGTCTAGCACACCGCTTTACGTCCGATGGTCGCGGGTTCGATTCCTCGCACGGCACAAACATTTGTATTCATGAGTATGATTGTTTGTATCGGTCTGGGTGTTTTCTATGTATTTACGAAAAAAAATTGTATATGTACTTGTATCAGCTATCTATTAACACAAGCTTTAGCTAGCTTAACTTGGGACTTGATGGCGCTGTGTGAATTGTCTTGAGATTATTATTATTATTATGTATAGTTATATTTTTTTGACTGGAATTCCAAAAAAACTAAACGTCCGAAAATGTTAGCCATTACCTATGGAAGTGTATGTATTTTATGTACGTGCTTGTTAAATAAAATTATATATATGTATGTGGTATGCAAAAAAATAAACTAGACATATAGGTATATGTCAATACAGGACAGGTTAGAATTATAAAAGTATAGCTAAATAAAATTCTCCTGTTATGAGGAATGTTTTGTCTGCATCAGTGGCATGTAAATCGGTTGTTGTGCTGATGGTGAAGACAAGTGTAATGTACCACTCCTCATGGTACATCAAGAGATTAGTCCTAGACATAAAAATAACAGAATTATTAGTCTTTGTCTATTTTTTGCATGTAGACAGGTAGGAATAGTAAATAAAAGAACTTAGAAACAATCAATATGTTTTATTACAATCTCGGAGAATTAGTATAAATCACTATACTACTAATATCCCTTTCAAATAAGGGCTCAAATTATTTTAAAGGGATATCCAAAACAATGATATTTTAAAATCTACTTGAGAGGAACAAAGTCACTTCATTATTTATAAGTGCCACGAAATCAAAGTATTCAAAGAGTTATCGGCATTCATAATATTATTATCTATACAAAATGTACACAGGGCCAAGATATGTATATACAACTTACAACTACATCGTAATATGATTAGAAGTATGATTCTTCGTTGCTAATAAATATTTTGTTAATATTAAATTCGATTTTCGCGAATTTGTATTTACATTTATATATATTAATAACTCCTACAGTGCTATGCACAATAACCTGTAAATATGTACACTTTTAGCATACAGTCATATTAAATTAGAATGTAGTGAAACAGGTAGGCATGAACAATTTAATATACTAAGAATACTTCCAACCATATGAGTCAGACATTCTCATATTCAGATTTTTTTGAAGAATAAAATGTTTATACGGAATACCATTTATAAAATCAGAAATATATAGAAAGTTATCCGTGAAGTCCTCTATATGTATGTCTAAACTATCTTATATCTCATATTGCACCCATACATAACATATTAAACACGATGTTTATTATGTTACAAGTATCTAAAACTTAAACATCTACTTGATATAATATCTAATATATTTATTATATAATTATGAAAGATTTAAAACTTAGTAATTTGAGCAAATCAGCGGCATCCGTAACTTCTCAAGCATAAACTCTAATTTTATAACTGTTTTGGCACAACACTTGATTTTATGGCTTTAAACACAACAATTTCTTGAAGGCTCTTCTAAAGTCCATATTGAATATTGTGTAAATTAAGGGATTTAATGCAGAATTGACGTAACCGAGCCAAGTGATAAAGTTGATAAACTTATTGGATAAACAGCAGCTTGCACAAAAAGGGTTGACAAGGTATATTACAAAAAAAGGTAGCCAGCACACGACAAATACTCCCATTATAATCCCAAGTGTCCTAGCGGCTCGTCGCTCTCGTGTTAACGAGATCCTCTGTTTTTCCTCAATAAATTGATAAACTGTATTCTGTTGACTGGGTTTTGCTCGCTTAGGAGCCTTTACCAATGTAGGTTGGTTTGCCGGTAACAATTCATCGTCATGAGCTTCTTTAGAATTGCTCTCAGAGGAGGTGTTTCTATTTTCTATATTTTCTACCATATCTGTTACGGAATTTTCGTTAGACAAAATTGGTACTATTAGTTTATTTTGAGATTTGTCATCTTTACTCCAGTAACGTTTTTTCGGTTTCTTTTTAGGAGTTAGCTTTCTAGTCTTTTTCTTCTTTTCGTTGTCTGAAACCAAACGCGTGACACCTTGATGCTCATTGTGATTAGCTTCAGAACTTACTGAATCTTGATCGTTCTGATCACTATCTTTTACAGCGAAACGGTTCTGACCCGTTGAGATAGTACTGATTTTTGTTGCTTTCGCCCGATCTCTTAACCTTTTCTTTGTAGCTAAGTATATTTCGAAATAAACTACGGTCATTATAACTAATGGGATATAGAAAGATCCAGATGAGGAAAATACGACGAAACCCGGCTGAGAAGTCAAACGGCAGGGTGTATCAGGTTCGAATACCTCGGGCCAATCATTCCATCCCAGTAAGGGTGGAGAACTAATAATTAGTGAGAGAACCCAAACTATTCCAATCATTAGTAAAACTCTTTCTAAAGTTCTCTTTTGTGCATAATTTATTGGATCCGTAATAGCCCAATACCTGTCGAGTGCAATTGCACATAAGTTCAATATAGATGATGTACAACACATAATGTCGCAAGTTAACCACATTTTGCATACATATATCCCAAATACCCATTGTCCTAGTATGGAATAAGCCACATTGAATGGAAGTACTAAAATAGCGACAGTCAAGTCAGCTACTGCCAAAGACACGATGAAAAAGTTCTGGACGATTCTAAGTGGCTTATACGTAAATACGCTAAGTATTACTAGAATGTTCCCAACAATTGTAGACAAGATTATAAGGGTAAGTACTATTGCAGTACATATTGCTTCCCATTCCGGAACTGCAAGTGTAATTCCGAAACTACTCGGATATTTGGGATCATCTGCGATTGCGCACACATCTTTTTCATCATCAATCACGTCATACATATCTGTATAATTTAGAGTGAAGTTGGAATCGACGTATGTCTCCCCCATTTTGATATTTTCCTAGCTACATTTCACGTAGCATTATGAACATTAACATTGGAGTGTAATCTGATTCTAATATTGCAACATTTAGATATGACACTTCGATAGTACGTCTTTATATGTGATGCAGCTAGCTGGTTATTTATTATTTTATAGTCCATGTTGCTGTAACAAAAATAATAATAAAGTAATAAACATCTTAATATGTTATGCTAAAATATTTGAAGTAAGTAAGATGTTCAATTACCTTCGCCTCAAAATCTTTTTCAGGAACTTCCATTTGTGTAGCGTTCTCATTTTTCGAAGCGTAATGGAATCTGTAACAAAAGGAAAAAAAACATTAGAGTCAGTCAGGTATGAAATAAAATATCGTTTTTACGAGCGCGCGATATTTTAGTGCTTGTGTTATCAATTTATAAGTTTGACTGAAAATATTTTCTTTTTATGCGTTAGTGAAACTATGAGCTGATATAATCCTGGGCTTCCCGAGGGCTATAATAAAATACAAATCCTCCTGTGGAGTTGACAGAGAAGGGTCATGATGAAGGCAAAACGTGAAATACATATCTAACCAAAGGGCAAATAACATGATGTACTCTTTCAACTAAACATCGTTCAAACTTTATTCCGAATATTAATTGTGTATGTACACATTGTACACACACAATATAATATTTGCAGAAGCATCATTTGGTCTATTTATTTTATTTAATACATATCTATTTTCCGGTGACAGTTAGATTTCAATTGATATTATTTATTTAAGACTTTCGTTATTGTTAACTTAAATGGTAAGTGTTATGACAGGTGATATTGAGATCGAAACTTATTTATCAATTTTTTCTACTACATACTTAATCGTTCATAATTTGACAGACAAGTTGAAGTACATCTGTATATGTATACGTTACGTTATATCTCAGATAATGTACTTGTAGAAAGAAATTTAATTTAACAGCATATTTTGTATAGCATAGTTTGGGGAACAAAAGTTAGTTAATATTAAAATAAATGTATCAGTAAAACTATGATAATGTACACATGAAAATCATGAACTGTTTATCTCTGTCTACCCCATTCGACATTTAATACAGATAGTGAAAAAAAATATAAAAATATATTGAAATTAAAATTATAATTCCACTTGTATATACTAGTAAATAGATGTAAATTATATATAGAAACGTAATGAGATTGCGACTTGTCCTTTGTGAAATGAGAGTTCATTAGCAGATTTCTTGTTTTCAGGAAGCGAATTAAACTAAATTAAAACTTTCACTAATGACTTACAAACAAATTACGTTTAATTAAACCTATAGGTTAACGTTAATTTAATTTTAATTACTTAGTATAATCAAGATAAATAGCCGGTGTAGGGTATGCACAAGAAATAGGTAGATGTGACAATGTCACAAAAACTCATTTAAGTACAATGATTTAACGATACGAGTACCAGAGGCAGACTTATACAAAGTCATCTGCGTACCTCTATTGTACTATATGTATATTATTCTGATATGACACTAAAATCAGACGACAGATACCATATTGGCTATAGTATCTGTGGTCTGGACCCCCTGGATCGCTTCCCAATCGCTTTGTGTGTAGCGAAGTTTTTATCCCCACCATAACAGCTGATTGTAGTACCGTGTATAGGATGATTTATTCTGCGGCAAGCAATTTGCTTTGTAAGCGAGTATGTGCCACTTTTAAAAGTGAAAATGGCAGTGAAATAACAAGGTATAGAGGTATACCAATTTAGTACTCCAACAACGCAACGGATGTGTGGAATTGACCACAGGCTTTAGAATATATTTCCTGCATATATGAAGCTACGTATGTATATAGACGCTGGTTATCGATTCCTTTACTTACTAATAATGTTAGCCCAGGGTGGTGCATTACTTTATTAGCATACATTAGAAAAGTATTACACATATTTGGTAAGAAAATTGAACACAGATCAATAATTATAATCGTTACGACATAAAACTTGTTATCCTTGAATGTATTAAACGAGCAAGATGCCTACTTAACATGATTCAATGTGTTATTTAATGAGTACTCCATAACTATAAATATTGAAGATGCGCTTCATAAAATATTATTATTCATATATAAATAATGATATTACTATATACGTACTACTTATGTACTTAGTGGTATGACGTACGTAAATGGCCCACTTTGTTTTCTGTAATAACTCATAAAATGCTCATGATAATGATTTAATTAATTTTCAGATGTTTATAGAATAATCTCCAGTGGTGTGAACACCGTTATCTGATGGAGATATAAGATAAGAAAAATAAAACTTGAGGTTGCTTTTATGCAAAATTTCCTTTTAATTAACTGTCCATAATTTTCCTGAGTTGATAAGCAGTTACTTCTGTATTGCAAATGCAATTAATTGCAATCATGAAATTACTTGATTTCCCTTAGTATTAATCTTTGTATTTCAAGATATGTATATCTTCTGTATTCTTAAAATTAATGTTTTCGATTTTCGCAACAATTGTTTCGAGTTCATCCGGAAATCTTCTTGAATCTCTTGAGTGTGTACAGCGCACTCGTTACTGTGTCTCAACCCGCACTGAAGAAAACTTTTAGCTGAAGTCCAAACAATTGTCGCGAAACACGAAAACATAGCGAGTTCATTGAAATCCCGTACATAGTTATAAAATATTAATGTCTAAAGTAAGGATGTCTATCCAAAATTATTTTGTGAAAAGACTAATAACTTAAACTGATTTACTTTCTTTATTTGGAAACTCTCGCGTATAGTATAGGTACATCTGTGATAATATATAAAATTCTCGTGTGATATTCGTAAAATACATACATACAAAGTATACATAAATACAAAGTACCTATACTTTTTTGAAACGGCTTAACCAATTATAATGAAATTTTATTATATATTCGATTATCCTGGAAATAGGTTGTTATTTATTTTTTATACCGCTATGTAATTAGGGTGGTTCACTACAAAATCATTTTATTTATGTATTGAACATTTTTTTAAATTAAATATATAACATATTAAATGTAAATTTTCACCCTTCTACCACCAACTGCTTTGACAGCAGTTGGTGGTAGAATTGGAATTTGGTGGAATTTTTACGGCAATATTAGTAGTTTAATAATTTTTTACTCTTGGCCCGTCGATAATGGATTTATTTATATGGCAAAACAATGTTTATTAGGTCAGCTAGTTATCAATACAAATAATTCTTACTAATATTATAAACGCGAAAGTTTGTGAGTATGGATGGGTGGATGCATGTTTGTTACTCTTTCACGCAAAGTCTACTAATTTTGGATTTTGATGAAATTTTCCATTAATATAGCTTATTCATCAGAATAATACGCTATAAATTTCGCGTGAAGCCGCGGGCACAGCTAGTAACATATATAATCCATCTTGACATTTCGGGTAGGTAGCACTACCCGTATTTACAAGCTGACTGGAGTATACTTCTACAACTTATCTGGCATGCTGGCAGCATCGCTGTTGTTGTCTCGTGCACAACAACAGACTTGACGTCAATATGACATTTCAAAATGGCGACATTAGTTCCAGTTTCTGCCATCGGATGAAGTAAGTTTCTGGCAGATGTCTGTAGTTTGTGCAACTACCGTCACTGGATAGTCCAATGAAATATCACACTGTTCACTGTATCCGCACACTTATTTAATGTTTTTTTTTATTCTTATAAATGTATATTTTAAGCTCTACTCCCGGTTAGAATTTGTGTATTTTGTGATTACAACGATAACTTCGGGGAATCTTAGTGGTGTAGTGAAATAATGAAACTTAGTTGGAAACGTTAAGAGACGATAAGTATCTTATCCATTCTATTCCATAGCAGTTTGTATTATTAGAGTATAAATGGCTATTTACGGCTGTTATATCAGTGAAAAGGTAAAGAAACAATTGTATCACTTAGGGACATAAGCTATCTTTTGATCTCAAAAAAGCGATAACGGAAACTACTTGTTTCCGTTGTTACTTTTTTCATTTATGGACTAACAAAATTAATAATATACTTTATTTAGATTAATTTTCTCTATCTACCTATATTAATTGCTTTATTTTGCTGATAGTATGCGGGACTTACCGTTTACTTGATTAAAAATTCCTTTACAGTCATAATTATTAAATTTCCTCAATAATAATTCAATGCGGTTAGTCATAACTTGTGGTTACATTATACAGGTAGCTTTATAATTGAATAATTGGCACTTTATTAGTAAAACCGCATAGAATATAGATTATATTCTCTTCCTAGATTATCTATGACGACATATCTCTAGGGTGCACATGTCTTTAGAAATAGCAGCACCTCTAATGGGCATCACCTATTGGCTACGTACAATATTAGGTATATCGTCAGTATGTTTGCCATTCCTTGTGCATAAAAACTAAAACCCAAAAACTCAACTATAACAGTCTTTAGTCACCTTTTCCATTTTTGTATCTCCCTCCAATTATAAGACTAATATAATATAATATGTTTATATAACGTATAAATATATGTAAATATTGTGTTAATTGGAAACATTCAAAGTATGTATATAAAAACGGATACATAATATAATACCATAATAATATTTTATAATTTATATTTGTTCTTGCAATTCATCTTAAAAGTTTCGCTTGTTCTGCAGAATGAGATCTCATTCGTATCATCCAAGCTATATACATTACTTCAAGCTGCAAAGTGTTGTTAGCACTTGGATTATTACCAGTTTCTTTAAAAATTCATTATGCAGTGTGGATGCAGCTACGTAAAGTTTTGTGTTTACATTATTCCAACTTCTGCTGCTGACTTTTACTTGGCCTGGACGCTTTAGTAGTTAAAAATTGAAAGCTAAGTGGAAACAAGTCTAAAAGGAAACGGAAATAAGACAGTGTGGTCACTCAGCGCTCGTTTTCATGAATGTAAGTAACCACAGACGTTAGTGCTGCAAGTCATAAGCGACCACCGATTTAATGTAATAATAATCCCAGGACAATTCATACCATCTAGACCCAAGCTAATTAAAGCTTGTGTTATAGATAGATACTAAATAACTGATATAAACATACATATAGATATTTTTTTTCCGTAAATACATAGTAGAACTGCAGTATATTTGGAATA